TTAGCTACGAGCACGAGAATAACACGTTTCCGTCATGGTCAAATGGAAGAGTTTACCTGCAAATTCGATTTTAGTCGTGCAATTTCGTCCTCATAGTCCTTGATTAATGCTTTCTTTGTTAAGAGTTGGTTGACAGCAGGTTTATTACGAATATTTTTGGCACGATTGGCATAGTCTAGTGTGGAGAATGATTCGTCCAGGTTGACTTTTGCTGGAGATATTGTGGCGATAATGCAGGTCTTTGTTCTGCCGCCGAGCGAATCTTGGAGAAGACGGGTCAATTTACTATCCCTATCAGAATAGGGAATAACACATCCGTTAGATTCGTTCTAATTCGTTACGTTAAATTTCAGAGCATGATCGGTTTTTGACCCAACTAACCTGTAGGGCACGTGAGGCGAGTGTTCAACTAGCGCATTAATCACACGACCCAGCGTAAGCAGACCTTGATTGATCACGCCAGCCTCTCGAGCGCGCTTGTTCTCGGCTCCTGAACGACCAATGTTTTCTGAGCCAGCCAGATCAACCAGATTTAGCTTGCCGACTTTCAGCAGATCTTCACCATTGTCCGTTGTTTCTCTGATGTGACATGTTATCGCGAAAACGCAATGGGAACGGCTTTTTTTTTTCGATACAGTATGTCAAATTTCAGTCTACCAGAGTTATATGATAATATCAATTCAAAACATTTGACACAAATCTAAGTCACCTAGAATTCTCATTGCACTTTGTAGCAGCCACCTGTCGTTTATGTGATCCTTGTCGTAAAGCACGAATGCCTTCTGCCCAGTTCTTTACCAAAACTTCTTCAACACCTTGTATCACTACACCCTTTTTTGCTAGGTCTTCAAATATCTTGAGCTTGCGCGTATCCTCTGTCGGGGATAAAAGATCCTTCAATTCTTCGTTATACAATTCGACAAACGAAACACGCACGGAATATTCTGCTTTGTCTCTCTCGAGTATATTAAAAAGATTGTTCAAGACGCGAGGAATAATTCCAGCATGTTCCGCAACTTCTCCATCCATATCGCCAAGATCGCCCTCCATCGTGTATCTGGACAAATTCGCGAGCAAACGGTCAAGAGCGTTATTAAAACGA